GGGCTGCGGCCCCTCTGGCTCTCCTCCTCCTGGGCTCGATCTCGGCCCCTCGCCGCCCTTCCACCCCGGCGGCTTCCCCCGGTCGGTGCTCGGGCGATGCCGCCGGCGAAGGAGCCGGCATTGTTCGGCGCGTGTGACAGGGATCGCCTTGCCGTTCTGGGAAAGGGGGTTCCCCGCCCCAAATGGACATGAGAGAAATTCGGAGGAGGAGGAAGAAGAAGAGGTGGCCAGGAAAAAAAACAGTCACAACTGTAGGAAAATCTTTGATTGAAATAGCTAGTCACCATTAACACACAAGTAAAGGCTATCAGGACATTTCTCCAGAAATTAAGACACGCTAGAACGGCAACATCTGTGTTCCTTTCATCTGCATCAATATAGCTAAAGCAGAAACAGGATGTTTAGTATTGAATGCTAGAAACAGTGGAAAATAGATTTATTGATTTACTACTTACTTTATTTATTATACATATATGCTATCCTTCCACAGACAGTTGTAGGTGACTGCTGCTGGGATCCATAGGTGTGCAGGTTGGGGGATGCCACCCATCCTTTCCTACGAAAACCTGGCTCTATACCCGCTTTTAGAGTTGTTCTTTCCTGATTGCTTAGGAATCCTCGCACAAGTGATGGATGGTGCTATAATGGGTGAGCAGAAACAAGGTGTTAGATGCTTAGGTATCTAATTATACCTGATATTAGAATGATCAACTTCCGAATTTTTATCAGTTTTGTACAATGCATATTTTACGTTTGCTTTAAAATGTTTCTTCTGATCTTTTTTTAAAGACTGCCTTTATTGTGGATGAAGTGAGCAACATTATAAAAGAGGTAAGATCATCTTTATGCCATATTTTAAGAACACAACATGGCATGCTCAGTTCAATTTGTTGTGTTTTCCCCATTCATAATCAGAATCCCCTTGCTGATTTATGCTTGAGTAAAAAAGAATCACATAAGTCTTTGTAGCAAATTGCCACTCATCAATCAGGGTCTTATTTTGATTGGTTCATACCTTCTGGAACACAACCAGTAGTACTTCCGTAATGAGTAGCAATTTGCTGCCAAGACCTATGTGATTTTCTTTACACAAGCATAGATTAGCAATAGGATTCTGACCTGCAACTGTTAAAACACATATATGTAATATCCACAGTGTTAGAAATATTTGATGTCTTAGGTAAAGGTAAAGGTTCGCCTTTACATTTAGTCCAGTTGTGTCCGACTCTAGGGCACAGTGCTCCTCCCTGTTTCCAAGCGGTAGAGCCAGTGTTTGTCCATAGACAGTTTCCGTGATCATATGGCCAGCGCGACTAGACACGGAACACCGTTACCTTAAAGTTTGTATTGTACACTTATTTGTTTAAAAGAATTCTGTAGGTAAAGGTAAAGGTTCGCCTTTACATTTAGTCCAGTTGTGTCCGACTCTAGGGCACAGTGCTCCTCCCTGTTTCCAAGCGGTAGAGCCAGTGTTTGTCCATAGACAGTTTCCGTGATCATATGGCCAGCGCGACTAGACACGGAACACCGTTACCTTAAAGTTTGTATTGTACACTTATTTGTTTAAAAGAATTCTGTTTGGATAAGTGTGGATCACCGTTACCTTAAAGTTTGTATCGTACACTTATTTGTTTAAAAGAATTCTGTTTGGATAAGTGCTATTCCATAAGGCATTTAAAAAAGATTTTCAGGGAATAGCCATGCTAATTTGCTGCTACAACAAAGAGTCTTACAGCACCTTAAAGGCTGACAGGTTTATTTGGGGTAAAATTGTATGGACTGTAGCTACAAACTGTGGATTGCTTAAAAAAAGGATAGCAATCTAGTAATACAATTTCTGTCTTGTAAATGAAGTAACCAAAATAGGTCCAGGTTCACATAAGCTGAAATCCTGTTGTAGTAAGTTGCAATTAGTGTAGGGCTTTTGAATCAATTGAACTTAGGAGTTGTCTCACCAAATCCCCACTGATTCAATGAGCCTTCTGTAGTTGCAACTTACTATACTAAGAAACATGATTTCAAAAATTATGTTCTGAATTCAAAACAGAAAGCTGGATACAATAAATGTGGTTATTTCCATGAATGAAAAAGAAAAGAGCCAGTTCTAAGCAAGTCTTTCCATACATGCAGGAGTGTCCCCCTACTCTACCCTGATCTGCAACCCTTTATACTGTGTTGGATTTCACTGAAATCCAGGAGTGGCTTTTCAAAGGATGTAAGGAGCTAGTGTATATATGTGTGTGTGTGTGGGGGGGGCTTTCAAAGGATGTAAGTAGCTAGTATATATGTGAGGGGGGGGGAGTTACAAGAAGGAAGACTGTTGTGGCTTTCAGTACTGAAGAACTAGAATGCAATTCTCAAATGCATCTTCCCGCATCCACCCACCACTATCTTCATCCTTGGGGTCAAAATATTCTCCTGAACAATTTCTGGCATGGCAGAAGGAAGATTTATGATAGGTGGAGGGGGGGCCTTTTTTGAGTGGAAGCCCCACCTGCTGGTAGAATGACACTACTGGAATACTACTAGAGATGGGTCGGAATGGATTCAGAGCCTTCTATCCGAATATCGCTGTGCGACAGACAGCACAGCTGCCGCTTGGACTCTCCTCACCCCCTGGACTGGCGGAGCGCCACTGTGGTCCTTTATTGCCAATGGTGCACCAATCTGGGCAGGAGCTTGGCCAGCAAGTCCCCACCTCCACAAACAGTTGTCCACTCATTGGCTGCACAGGGAGAATCCTCATCCTGCCTCCTTGCCAAGTGGACGACTGCCTACGGAGGTGGGGACCTGTCGTCTGAGTTCATGCCCCAATTGATGTGCTGCTGGTGATGAAGGACCCTGATGGCATGCAACTAAAGGTGAATGTTTCTGCCTGTATGGGAAGTGGGAAGAGAGTCTGTGTGGCAGTTGTGCTGCGTCACACCATTATTCGGATAGAAGCTTCCGAATTAATTTGGGTCCATCTCTAAATACCACCTTTTGCATCTGCCAGGTTCCATATGAGGTCTTTTGACTCCCAGCCTATACTGTATATCTGCTGTCTATACTGTATATCTGTGGTCTTTGCACTCTGGATAGCCAAATACAATAGCATCCATAAAGATTTTTTATCTCTCTTTCTAATGAATAAGCGTATCCGATTTAGGACTTTCCCTTATATAATATTACTTGACCTCTAACCTAATCTGCAAGCTGTTTAAGTCTGCTTCAGTTGCAGTGGTGACATCAGTGGGATTGAAGTCTGTGTTTAATTTCTGTGCCTTACCCTGGGAGTTAGCTGTTAGTGACTTCCAATCATGTAGTTGCTAGATTTATGGAAAATGTACCACTGTTGTTAAGCTACCAGTGTTTTGTTTACTAATCCTTTATTATGGCAACCTCCTTAGCAATTAGTGAAGGTGTATGAACCTGCACTAAATATTCTATACAGTACTATAGAGAGTTCATGCATTCTTTCTTAACACTTTGTAACTTAGTTGTAGGTGAAGTGACAGTGAATGAAAAACAATGTATTCTCGATGGTTGTTGTGGGCTTTCTGGGCTGTTTGGCCATGTTCTTAATGAAAAAACACTTTTCTTTTTCTTGTACAGACCACCACCAGTCACTATGACAAATATGCATGAAAATTTCAGTCTTTGGAAATAGTCTACTACTCCAGAGGTTACAGCGCGAACGAGCAGTTTAATTTTGCAGTCTTAGTTTCACTTTGTTTTGATGGAATTCATTTTTAACAGAAGCCCTGTGTAGTTGCACAGGGGAACATTCACTTACTGATTGTAACCTTTGAAATTAATGCACATATTTTTAAATCATGGGCTAGTATACTGTTCCCAATTGTGTGGCATAACCATGTCACATATGGAGCAGGAGGTGATGTTCTGGGAGAGAGGGGCATTGTGTAATACAGTTCGAGAGCATGAAGAAACTAACTGGGATGCCTTGTGTACAATAACGTGTGTGGAACCTTTAGCTGTATACAGTCTTACACAGCTCCTCTAATGCTGGAACAGCTTGTGCAATGTCTAGTTATGGCTGCTGATTGTACCAACAGGCTGCTAGCCATGAGCTCTTGGAGTTACAATTCACTGGCAGAATGGTGGTAAAAGGAACCTCTTTTCATTTGTAGGCCATTGAAGGGACAATAGGTGGCAATGCATACCAGCACAGCAAAGTGAATCAATGGACTACAAGTGTTGTGGAGCAAATTTTAAGCCAGCTGACAAAGCTGGGGAAGCCATTTAAATATGTTGGTAAGTTAATATTTTCATATTTTTATTATTAATTTGACAAAAATGGGTTTCAGTTAAAATTAAAAACTAAAGTTTAAAATAGGAATTGAAGGGGGAATAAGTGTTGAAACTGTGTTTTGACCTTCTAAGGTCATAAAAATGGGATCACATAACTGACTTTATGGCTCAAAGCAAGTAAGATGTAACATATGTGACCTTTTCCTAACAGCATTCTTGTTTTCTGCAACTTACAGTGACGTGTGTGATTATGCAAAAGAATGGTGCAGGTCTTCATACAGCAAGTTCTTGTTTCTGGGACAACTCTGCAGATGGTACAACAATATTTTAAAACTTTTTTCTTGGATACATCCGTGAAATGTTTTATAGAGTGTTTGCATGACTTATGGAAGTAGCTTCCTTTCGGAAGAATCCGCTGCAACCACTTACCCTCTGGAAACAGCTTCTGATTCCAGCAGATGTAAGTGATTAGGGAGCAGGGTTTTATTGTTGCTAAGAGTGATGGTAAATTATGTCCCAGTGCTGGGAGTGATGTACTTCAGATAACTAAATAGTCTGTGTAGCACTGTGTTGTCTTAGACTTATTCAGTGAACATGATTTTCAGCAGTTGATATGAAAAGAACTGTTTTTACTACACATGGGAGCTTTGTGTTCATATCCTGGGGGATACGAATACGAAGCTTGGCACCACAGGTGCCGCAGTGGTCCATTCCGCCCCTCCCCCCCCCAAACCAACCTAGTTCACTCACCAGGCTCCTTGCAGCACAACACCTCCAAAGGCAGTGACATCACTCCAGTTTCAAAAGTAGTCCTGCTGGCGCTGCCCCACCTCTCCCCTTAGCCAGCACACAAAGGGAGCAGGGAGACTTTTCTTCACGCTTCCTCTTGCCAGAGCAGTTGGCTGTGGGGAGAGGCATGGCAGCACCAGTAAGACTTCTGCGATTGGTGTGATGTCACTGCCGTCAGATGTGTGCACTGCGAGGATCCCAATGAGTGGACTGGGCTGATTTTGCGGGGCAGAAAGGGAGCATTGTGGCACCTGTAGTGCAGAGCTTCATATTCTTATTCACCAGGGTACATATACGAAGCTCCCATGGCTAGTTTTTACTTTGCAGAATCTCAGATGCATTGCTTTAAAGTAGATGCATCAGTTTATCTTTTCTACGTATAGTAGAATTACCCTAACACAATGTTGTTCTTTTATAGGAACCTGCACTGTGAGATGGGAAAACAAGACTATGTACTGTATTGTCAGTGCCTTTGGACTTGCAATATGATTGCCTTGGAATTCTTCAGCCTTTGTGTCATCACTTCCATTTCATAAATCCACTAAAACTGTGAATTCAATGAGCAGTGCTATTTTTAAGAGAACTTCTGCTTTCCACCAGTGAAAAATTGGGAGAGCAATTTCAATACCTGTTACACAGACACATCACCCTTTATTCATATCCTGCACCCCCTGTCTTAACACTGTAAGACTTTCTCAAGGTGCTAAAACCTGAAACCTGCTGCAGTTCTTCAGCTTCATTCCAACTGGTTTGAATAAGATTAATTTCCACACAATAGGTTTGTTATTAAATTATTGAAATGCTGAACATGTGTGTGTGTATTTGTAAAAGCATCAGATTGAAAAAGCAAGAGTGAGGCTCACCTGTAGCATTATTCATCTAAAAAACAGGATTATCCTCCTTCCTGCATTTCTCTTGTGCCTTTGAACCAAAATGAGCTCTTGGGAGGGTCTGAGAGACCTCTCAATGATCCCCATCAACCTTCTTGATAAGGCTGGAAGTCAGCTTAGGGTTTACCCCTTCACTTTTAAAAAGCACAAAGTGGAACAAAGAGCATTTTGAGCGTTAACACATACTGGCTGGGGGTTTCAAGGAGTTTTTTTTTAAAAACTGCAGTGGAAGGAGGCATGGGTTACCTTACAGATATTAAAATGGCAGAAATATTGTTACAGTACAGTGTTGTTTAAGTCAGACAGCTTGAGGTGCCCTAATTCCACAAAGGTTATAATGACTGAAAAAAATGTATGGGCAAAATCAGTTGAGTCTTTAGTGGACTATTGATATATTAAAAAGGCCTGATGAAGATTTCTGAAGGACTCCAGAAGTTTGGAATTGTTAGCAGAGATGAGAAACTTCCAGGCCATTGGCTCCATCTAGCCCACGCTGGTTTTCTCCTCATGTTGTGAGAGGAAATCTTTCAAGACTGGAGAATCTTCATTGCTAGTGAAAGGCAGCCTTCATCACTGAGAACAGGAAATTCCACTTTTGGTTCCCATCAATGTTTTGGAGGTAAGGGGGGCTCCTGCATATGGCTCTTTAATGCAGTGATGACATCACTTTGTACACCAACTGAACTAAGATAATGACCTACACACTTGGATCCATCGCTCCTGGATGAAACAGACGCCCTGGATCCATTTCATTCCATTTCATAAATCCACTAAAACTGTGAATTCAATGAGCAGTGCTGTTTTTAAGAGAACTTCTGCTTTCCACCAGTGAAAAATTGGGAGAGCAATTTCAATACCTGTTACACAGACACATCACCCTTTATTCATATCCTGCACCCCCTGTCTTAACACTGTAAGACTTTCTCAAGGTGCTAAAACCTGAAACCTGCTGCAGTTCTTCAGCTTCATTCCAACTGGTTTGAATAAGATTAATTTCCACACAATAGGTTTGTTATTAAATTATTGAAATGCTGAACATGTGTGTGTGTATTTGTAAAAGCATCAGATTGAAAAAGCAAGAGTGAGGCTCACCTGTAGCATTATTCATCTAAAAAACAGGATTATCCTCCTTCCTGCATTTCTCTTGTGCCTTTGAACCAAAATGAGCTCTTGGGAGGGTCTGAGAGACCTCTCAATGATCCCCATCAACCTTCTTGATAAGGCTGGAAGTCAGCTTAGGGTTTACCCCTTCACTTTTAAAAAGCACAAAGTGGAACAAAGAGCATTTTGAGCGTTAACACATACTGGCTGGGGGTTTCAAGGAGTTTTTTTTTAAAAAAAAAACTGCAGTGGAAGGAGGCATGGGTTACCTTACAGATATTAAAATGGCAGAAATATTGTTACAGTACAGTGTTGTTTAAGTCAGACAGCTTGAGGTGCCCTAATTCCACAAAGGTTATAATGACTGAAAAAAATGTATGGGCAAAATCAGTTGAGTCTTTAGTGGACTACTGACATATTAAAAAGGCCTGATGAAGATTTCTGAAGGACTCCAGAAGTTTGGAATTGTTAGCAGAGATGAGAAACTTCCAGGCCATTGGCTCCATCTAGCCCACGCTGGTTTTCTCCTCATGTTGTGAGAGGAAATCTTTCAAGACTGGAGAATCTTCATTGCTAGTGAAAGGCAGCCTTCATCACTGAGAACAGGAAATTCCACTTTTGGTTCCCATCAATGTTTTGGAGGTAAGGGGGGCTCCTGCATATGGCTCTTTAATGCAGTGATGACATCACTTTGTACACCAACTGAACTAAGATAATGACCTACACACTTGGATCCATCGCTCCTGGATGAAACAGACGCCCTGGATCCATTTCATTCGGGCTTTAGGCCGCACCATGGTACAGAAACGGCATTGGTCGCCCTGTGCGATGACCTACTGAGGGAGGCCGACGGGGGCAAAGTGTCTCTGTTGGTCCTCGATATCTCAGCGGGCTTCGATACCATTGACCACAGTATCCTCCTGGGGAGGCTGTCCAAGCTGGGAATAGGTGGCCTGGCTCCGTTCCTTCTTGGAGGACCGTCCCCAGAGAGTGCAGCTTGGGGAGAGTGTCTCGGCCCCATGGAGCCTCAACTGTGGGGTTCCACAGGGGTCGATTATCTCCCCAATGCTGTTTAACATCTACATGAGGCCTCTGGGTGGGGTCATCAGGGGGTGTGGA